GGTGTGATTGGGGCCTGTCCTGTCACCAGGGTTCTCGTTACCAGACCAATTTGGTCTGATGGTCTGCGTTTAAGACTGGTTTTTTTGTATTCATCTTAATCCTAAGATTTTGTGTTTGTTCTCATCTGATGAGCAAGATTTGACTTTTAAGTTCGTATGATTTTTTCAGACGTGTAGAATTTTTTATCTGAGGATACAGATAGCGAGTTCGGTTTCGTCTGAAACCGACAACTTGACCCACTAGGCCATAGGCCCAGTTGACCAGAGGACAGGACCACCACAGGTACAGCCGATTGCTGCCTTGTAACTGCACGCATTCATTACGCGTGTCTTATACAGCTCTGTAACTGCCTTGTGCAGCCTCGCTGGCATGTATCTGCGGCATATGCTGCCAGGTGTTTGTCGTTTGGGTGGCTGTCGGCGCCGACGCCAGCCACAGGCACGACAACGCGCTGTCCCGTTGTGCCAGCGCATTTGCTTTTCGTAGAGGGCGCGCAACACATCACTGTGGTCGTAGTGCCCCCCGCTCCCAACACGCACCGCCTTTCGGTTCTGAGTGCAGTGCACGGTGATGAGGTTTCATGCAGCTGGGTCTGGCGTGAAAACAAGCCTGTTTCTCCTGCTCGTCCTCACCTCTCTCCCAGCCGAGCATGGATCGTTTCCCTCCCAGCGTCTGATTTCCCAGCGTGACGCTTCCCAGCGTTTAGGCTATGGCCGTCACAGCCGGCGGACCGTGCGATGGGGAGCCCGTGCTTTCCGCCCTAGACTTCCTAACGCGGGGCAAGCAGATCGCTTCTGCTGCCCCTCCGATTGCGTCGACCTCTGCTGCGGTACCTTTGCCCAACTCGGAAAATGGCGATCAACACGTGCCAGCAACGACTACCCCAACAACGCTGTTATCCCCCCCGCTCCCTGACGAATGTGCAAATAAGAGCATCCCTCCAGTGTCGGTCGCTACAACCTCTCGCAGTGCTAACCCCGTCTTGCCTGACAGATCTATGAAGAAGCGGTATAAACAGCGTGTTCTCACCGTCTGCCGTCCGGGCGGTCCGACTCAGCCAGCACCGTCAATTCTTCCGCGCCCCGCGGAACCAGAACCTGAACCCGCGAGTGAAGACTTCGAAGACCCGAAGGGCAAGCAACTGTCGGTTGAGGAGCTTCAGTTGAAGTGCAAGCAGCAGTGGCAGCGGTATTTTCCTTGGCTCCTCATCTCCGAAAACAAGGCAGGCCGCCCGTGCATGCGCTGCAGCGTCTGCATGGTCTTCGGTGACCCGAACTACAAATACGGGCGTAACGGCGATGGCGGCATCGACATCCAGAAGCAGACGATGCGCAAGCATCACCACAGTCTGAAACACGAGGCCGCGGTCTTGAGGAAGGAGGAGCACGACGGCGTCAAGAAAGTGCAGAAGTCAATTGCTGACTTCCACCGTGGGGACGCTGATGTCAAGCGTATTGCTCGGTTGATGGCTATCGTGCTATTCATTTGCAAGTCTGATGCTCCCATTGTTCTTTTCGTCGCTTTGGTTCAATTCATGGTAGAGCAGGGGACACCGGATTTGCCCCTGAAGGAGAACGGGACGTACTACAGCGAGTAAGTGTCCCGTTTTACTCATCTTTTTATTGTTATTTGGTTACGAGTCTAACGAGTATCAACCCGTGGTGTCTCAGGTACGGCTTCGCACAACTGGTCGAGACCATGGTGTGCTACCTCAAGTCGCGCCAGCTGAAGCACATCCGCGACAGTCCGTACCTTGGCATCCAGCTAGACGAGAGCACCGACCGACGGCGGGGGAAGCACATGATCGTCTATTTGACGTTCATGCGTGACAACGCACCCGTGACGGAGTTCTTCACCTTGCTCAGTGTGGAGCAGTGTGACGCCGCGTCACTCACCACAGTGCTCCTGACGCATCTGGAGAGTACCGGCATCGACCTACAGCGCCTCACCGGTATGAGCACTGATGGTGCTTCCGTCATGCTTGGACAGCACAACGGAGTCACCGCGCGCCTGAAAGTCAAGGTTCCTCACCTTGTGTCGTTTCACTGCATCGCGCACAGGTAGGCGTTGTTACTGCGCGTTTCCTGCCTACTTTTTTTTTTTTAACCCGTGCTAATGTTACCATCTGCTGTCTTGCAGGGAGGCCTTGGCGGCCAAGGATGCTGCCGCCAAGCATCCTGACTTCAGCGTCGTGGACAAGGTGGTCCGCGCCGTGGCTGAGAACCTCGGTCGTTCCTGTGTTAACCACGCCCGGTTTCAAGAGCTTCAGGAGGTCATTTGCGAGACCCAGCTTGAAGTTCAAGGCATCAAGGACGTCAGGTGGTTGTCGCGTGGTGACGCCATCCAGCGCCTGGTGAAGGTTTTTCCTGCTGCAGTCATGGTGTTGCACGAAACAAACAAGAAGATGTATCACGTCGTCACGAGCTATAAGTTCCATTTCCTGTTGTTCTTCCTTTCTGACGTCTTGAAGGAGCTCAACCTGCTAAGCCTGAAGTTTCA